ATTAGCGACTAAATTATCTTTAATTACGTAATATGTATGGTGAAAAAAGTCGCATAAAATGTTTGACGTACGTAATATTTTTTTGAGAAAAGATAAAAATTTGAGACACAGTTCCCCAGATAATAGAAGTAAGGTTATTTTCCAAATGTTTGATGACAAAAAAAAATGACTTTGATATGACGATTTAAAATTTTAGGATTTTTATTCAAAATCAATCATTTACAAAGGCATTTTTTTCAAATATGTTATTTTTTATGATGATCAACGACATTTAATGAACAAAGATTAAATAAATAACAATTATTACTAAAATAACTTGGTTTTAATGACATTTATGTGAGTACCACGGAAAGTGTCTGTTGTCACCTTATTAACTATTTATTATCTGCCTTCTTGCATAAGGGTCATGGAAGTGAGCCTCATTTGTGTAACTGTTATATTTCCTTAATTAACACGAATAATTAGTACTTAACATAACAAAATGATGTGTCCGTAAACATACTATTAGCTCCTGCTAGTTGTTTTGTTAATTTTTATTACGTGTAAAACAAACCTTAATGTTTATTTTATAGTCATCGTCGGAAAGCCATACTGGAAACTCATGGAAGGAAACATTTAGATTGTCATTAGTTATACCCACAATGACATGTGATTCTGATTCGTCGACATATACCACACGGTTAAACAGCGATTCTGAAATATATTCATTATGGGTATTTATAACGACATAACCCAAACCACTGAAGAGCAGATGTGCCGAAAGTTCACATCCATCTTCACTACCCATCAGCGTGTTCAACTTTCAATGCTTAATATAAATGGTTCTTCATATCCAAAGGGATTATTCTTAGAATACATAAATTTAAATTGATATAACATAATATATTCGTCTCTGTTTACATCTCTTAATCCGTAATCCCCCCACAATACATAAGTATCATAAGAGTTTGGAATGTCTCTTCTATCTTGACTATTGGTCGTTATAACTTTAAGACTTGTTTAAGTCTTAATAAAGAGAATCATAATAACGCTTATTTAATGGCAACTAGGACATAATTAGAAAGATATACAGTTGCATGTTGCATTTGTCAAGGCTACGTGTCCCATGTTTTAAGATTAAAGGTATTTCAGACTATTTGTTAATTATTTGAAATAAGATATGAGAGAACTAATTAGTTTAATTAGAAACGACGTCAACGCGAAATGAAACAGTAATTTTAACACGACCTGCATTTTTCCCTATTGAACATAGACATGATAGACGAACCGAAAGTGTGTGTTATTATGCTATAAATTCACTGTTTGACGTTCTATATTTAGACATGTGACGTAATCATTATACACGTGACGTAACCACTAAAAATGTGACGCGCTGACAATAAGTACGGACACAAATCAGGCGCAATTTAGCGAATTATCATGTACGGGCAGCATTTATTTGTTGATGTCGTGTTAGAATCAAAATAATATATCCAAATCGGTGATTTTATTGCTTGATAACATTACTGTTTGTCGTTCGAATGCCCATCATTATATCACTCGGGCTACGCCCTCGTGATATAATTCCCCGCATCCGACTCCAAACAGTGATGTTATTGAGCAATAAAATCACAGTTTGGGATATATTATTTCTTAACTATATCATAAAGTGTAAAATGAATGAAGTCACGATTTCAGAAATGTTAATGACGATATTTTACTAATCGAGGGACATGGACAGAGGAGGTAAAATAGGTAAATAAAGTATTTTATTATATACTAATAAATGAAATATTGAGAAATATTGATGGAATAAAATGCGTATTTTCATTTTGAAATTCGTATTTTCATTGTAAAAAATATTTTTCACTGCAGTGAAACGTATTTTCCGTATTTTCACTGGTGTCTTACCGGGCTACTAGCAAATACACAAAATAGAAAAACAAAGAAAAATCTACATAATCAACATTTTCATCTTGGGGTATGGAAATAATCATATTTCACTCGTGTCTATACAGCCATATTTATTTTCATACCACTTGATGAAAATAAATCTTGTATTTGTAGAAAAAAAACATAAATATCCTCTATAGTTTAAACATATTTTATTGTATATATATATATAATATACTTACATAAATATTCACAATTATACATAAATACATTAATGTAAATATACAAAAGGACTGGGCCAAAAGTTATAACAACATTATCGGGGACCCTCCCCTGAAATACTGACTGCAATGTTATTAAAAATAGATGTGAAAAAGACAAATGTAAAGTATGATTAGTTAAGTTGAAATCTAAGAAAAAAATAATTAGATAAAAAGGTAAATAAATAATATATTTTCTGATATTTGAAAAACCACGTCGCCTACTCCCTACAATAGTTTAACTATGAATTTTGACAGTTGACAATAGTCTAACAATTTGTATAGAACCATAAAAACAAAGTATAAAAGAAAATCAAATGTTGTTAAACTATATTAACTTTAATAAACCGATGAACATGATGAAATAAAAGCATATTTTGAGAATTAGTTAAAGTATTTATACCAAAAAGTAACTTTTGCATACAAACCGGATGAACTTCTCTTGTATTTCTAAAAAGTTCTATCCTCTGATGATTAAATTTTTTGCATTGAAATAAAAAATGTTCAGCGTCCTCTATTAAAGCACTGCAATGTGCATTCACAAGCTGGGTTTTGTATAATATGATTGTTATTTAAGTCCGAGTTTAAATTACTGCAATTATTCCTAAGACGTGTATGGTATACTGTTGGTGAGCGCTCACCGTTTATAAAATAAAACGGAACTATAGGAGGTTCATATTTCTTTTAGTTTTCTTTTAAAGTTTGTTAACGAGTCAGATACTCTAATATTTATTGATAATTCATTCCAAAGCTGTATTGATGACGGTATAACTAATTTTGAGTATATTTCGGTTCTCCTTGTCATAGTTACATAATTGATATTATTTCTTAAATTACACTGGTTTTCATTTGCATTTTCTACTAAAGGGGGAAATAGCTGTGATAAATATAATGGCAGTAAATTATGTTTATCTTTGTATACTAAAACAAGTTTTGAATTTTTCTTCTTTCTGCCAAAGATACCCACCCTATTTCTTTTAATAAATTTTGAATGGACACTGATCTTGTTAAACCGGTGACAATTCTAGCCGCTTCATATTGCATTTTTTCTTAAATATCTTTCTTGTACTGTGTACAGTTATCCCATAAAAGTGAAGCATATTCAACTTGAGGACGTAAGTATGAAATATATATATTACTGAGTGTACTTCTTTGAACTTTAAACTTTATCATTTTCATAGAACCTAATTTTTTTTTGATGCCGAAGAAACTATAGTATAACATAAGAAACTATAAATATCCTCTATTTACTAAAAAATAAATTATGCGTTTTCCTCAATGTTATAGAAAATACATGGTTGATGTCAGGATGGAGAAGGTTTATCCAGTGAGCGAGAAAGTGTATCTATGTATCTGTGGTATTTTTAATTTCTTCTATATGGCCATTTTCACCTTTGGTGGTTCCAGTATACCTACTTTAATTCTGTATAATCACCCTTGGGATATGTTGCCTGCTTTTTAAATTTGTCTTTTTGTTGGGGAGGGGGAGGGGGCGTGGACGGTAGCTTCCACTTTCCGGTACCGTCAATAAACGGGCTCAATCGGGCCGGGCCTGCAAAATTTTCAATTTTGTTGTGTTCTTTAGGGATTCTGTTTTTCTCTATTTTATCCAGCTGATGATATTGACAGTAGCCGGATAAAACTAGATTTCTATCTTATACTTATGGAGAGTTCGTATTCATGACAAAAGAAACTTCCTTATTTTTTGTGCGAGTTATAAATATTTCTTTTACAAAAGAAACTGGAATTTATTAAAGTTATTGCTTTTACGAAGCAGAAGCAACAATATTTCTAAACTAGATAGAATTTCGACTTACATGCTCGGAAATATTCCAAAGAGAAAATCTGTAGAATTTCGACATTATGTCCACTTAAATGATAAAATTTCAAAAATATTAAACAAGATAAAGAATAAGCTGTTGGTAAAATATGAATTTATCTTATGTGAGTGTAAAATTGATAGTGACTGTTTGACACCTACCAAGGGTAGTACTGCATAATTCACTGGTATGACCCAGTCGGGGGTTCGAACTCCAGGATTCGGCACATAAGTAATAAAAGATGTTATCAATATTATTGTGTATTTGTTGTAAATAATAAATAAAGGTACTGTTTAGTACATTCATGATTACTGTGTAGTATATTCATGTATATGATTACTATTTAGTACATGCATGATAACTGTTAAGCATTTGATTACTGCTTATAACATGCATGATATCTGTTTAGTAGTACTCTTTAGAATATGCATGATTACTGTGAAGTACATGATAGATTACTGTTCAGTATATGTATAATTACTGTTTAGAATATTCTTGATTACTTATTAGTTTTTACATGCTAACTGTTTAGTGTATGCATGTACCCAAACAAAAAAAAGATAGGAATGAATCAGTATAATAAATGATAAACAAATTTACCATTTATTCCCAATTTATTATAGATGGAAATGACATGCAAATGAGCCAATGCATTATGAATAAATTGTTAATAAATCAGTGAAATGAATTGGTAATGAATTGGGTCCATTTACCAACTTATTATAAATTGTTAATAAATCAGGTTAACAAATGGGTAATGAATTTGGTCCTTTTCTTGACTTAGTCAATGAATTATCAACAAATCAGGTCAATCAATTGGCAATAAATTAGGTTCGCTGACCAACTGATTCATTAATGAATTGCAAATAAATTGTTAATGAATCACTAATAAATTGTATTTTTTCTTCTTCCATAAACCGAAATTCAATGTATTAATGAATCATTAACAAATCAGGCTTGCCTGCTTATATTCATCTAATGGATTTTGAATAAATGCAGGTTCCAATGATGGTGTCAATTCCGGAGAAAAATATGAAAATAATAATAATAATAATAACATATCTTGATAAATTTTATTTATTTTTCTTTTATTTTTTACAAACAAAAGCTGACTAGATTAATCAAGAACATACAACAAGATTAAAATTTGTGAAAAAATCTATGCCACCACATCATAACATTGAAAACTCATAATGTACGTGCATAGCTCATTTCATAAATATCCCTGCAAATAAAACAGGTAATGTCAGGTAAACAAGTAAAGGGGAATAATTCTGGAAATATTCGTGCCTGCTGTTAGGAATATATTTCTAGTTTTAGAAACCAGGGCTTTATGTCAGTCTGAAAACATCTTTGCCTTCCTTTTCAGTGTCTGTCTGGAGCTACACCTTTTTTATTCCTAAAATCATTAAATGTTGAATCTCTATACTGAGGCAATGAATGGCATACTCTGAAATAGAAAAGAAAATCTCATAAAAAGTATCATATTTATAAATAAAATATCAAAATTTAAACTTAGACTTCTGACATATCACTCTGAAAAAAGTATAATATATTTTTGTTCTATTTGCAATACAATCTGAATTTGAATTTCAACTCGAGACAAATACACTAAAGGACTCAACCACTTTGGACTGTACACGTTCTATATTGAATAAAAACCAGCAGTATATTTCAAAAAGTCTGATGATAGATAAATATTTGTTGATAAAACAAACGGGTGAATGTTCGATTTCATTTTCAACAGAGGAATGAACAAATATTTTGTAGCAAGTCCAGTTTTTTACCATTTGCTTCAATTAAATTTAAAACGAAATTGAAAGGCCAAGACATTGAATTACTATATGTACGTGGACAAAATTCAGATTGAGAAGTATTATTTTTTATCATTTACTTAATATTTAAAAAGCACATTGTCATTTTTAAAATGATTAATCTATATGTAGCCCTATACTTACGCTTCAAAGACTCATATATGTCATTTCCTTGGAATGCCCTCGTCCCATAACTAATAGCAAACTCTTCACGATCAAAGAAGCCGTCCATCTGCATTTTATTATCTCCCGTTCATCTGCTTTTTACCATCTCATCAGAGTTGCTGATTTTTACGTTCTGTCCTTTCTTTGCTGCTCTTTTCAGTTTTCTGCGAGATAACTAAGTAAAAGAAAAATAGTCTTCTGAAGTCACTTAAAATAAAAAAGAACATCATTTTTCATCGCATTCAAATGTGCAGATGAGCTCAGTGTGAACTGGGACATACGTATGTCCCAGGTGTGAAACAATGCAGATTTATGTTTTTAAAATGGGCTGTACATAGATATCCTCATAAACAATGCATGTACATGCGTGCATATTTTAAAACTTGTATCTTGTATCATAAATATTTTTCAATCCAAATCAAGTTTAATTTAAGGTGGTGCCATTAGGGTGGGACGAATCGTCACTAAAATGGGGCGAGTCGTTATGGGGCGAATCGATCGTTATCCTAATCTGCACATTACTCCAGTAAATTTTATTTTTTGTCAACTTACATATGATATAGATCTAGAAGGTTTTTAAAAACGCTATGTAGAACGAAAAGAAAATTTTGAACTTACCGTCTATCAGTAGTCTAGATGCCTTGATATTGTTTTTTATCCATATTTTTGTGTAACACCACAAGTTTTCATCTTCCAAAATAACCGCCTTTTTCCTATGCATAGAATTAATGCAAACGAAATGTTATTCCTAGCTACTATAGTATTGTATAAAGTTCCTAATTTTGCAGCTGCAATGACAAAATCTGTTGTAAGTTAGTTTGTTTCTGACATTAGTTATATCCAAAAGAAAGAAAACTGTTTGTATGGTAAGATATCTTTTTTCTGAATGGCAAAAAAATTTCGTTTCCTATTAATCTTGTTCTGTTGTCGGCTGATAGGGGGCGCTCGGTAGGCTGCAGTTCCCTGCAATATCTTATCGTTTAATCGCGCGGCTGGGAGCCATGCTGTTCAAAACAATAAACTAACAACAGATGTTAAGTCCGAGAGAATTAAGTCGCTTTTTTACAACATTTTACCTTTTTACGCATATACGTTAATCTATTCGACAGTTTTTTTTACTGATAATGATAGATCTAATCATAAAAAGCCGTGGGTATGGATCAGATTGCGTATTAACAATAATTAAGAAAGACAAAAACTGATCTTGATCACTAAAAAATAAAATCTACATGCAAATTAGTTAGACATATTTAACAGTAAAACGAGATTGTATAATTGACTCCTTTTTTACGTTTTGCGCTGAGCATGGAATTAATAATATGGTGATGCTTAAACTAAGAGACTGAAAAACCGACCATATATATTTTCCAGTGACTGATTAAAAACAAGTACGGTAATAAGTAAAGGGAAATTTAAAAAAAATATTTGTATAGTTGAGAGGGGTTTAGTTGTTATGAACAATAAAACAAAAGGACCTACATCAATGAAAAGTTCTGTTATAATTAAGCAAATTATGAACATCTGAAGTACAATGAATATGTTATGAATTTTATTGAATAAATCTCTGATTTTAATGAATCATGAACAACTTGTGAACTCAGAACTTTAAAGTGTAATGAATTTGTAATAAATGGTATTAAATGCAGTCGGGAAAAGTTCTATTTCCAATAAATCATGAATAAATTGTATACATTCCAGTTCAAGTGTAATGAATTTGCAACAAATTGTATTGAATATATCTTATGTTTGTAATCAATGGTTAATAAATCTGTCTTTTGTAATGAATCTATAATAAATGGGGTCTTTTCTTTCCAGTAAAAGCACAATTTATTTATGATTCATTTAATGAATCATGAACAAATTGTATTAACAAATCAGGAAAACATGATTTATTCCAGATTTATTCACAATTTTGATATAATTTGTTGATGTATTTTTTTGTTTGGGTATATGAATACTGTTTAGTACATGCAAGATTACAGTTTAGTTTATGCATTCTTGCATATCAGACAGGATTATCTACCGTTTACACCGGTGCTAGAAAACTCTGTCTTACCCCCCCCCCATGTAAGACAAGTCGCGTGCTTTAAATGACGTCATTGACGCGCGCCTTTTATGAATGAATCACGTTCTAAGGATGACGTCATTTTTCCGTTATGAATGAAGTTGTAAGTTCATACGCTACTTTAAGAAAAAAGTGCGTAATGAGAATATCAGTTTTCATAATTTCTGTTCCGAAAATAATTGCCAAGTAGTATGCAAGAAAAAGAATCAAACATCGGCTGTTGGTACAGACGGGAATATCTAGCTCTCGGGTAACTGTTTAGCGGAAACTCGGCATAGCCTCGTTACCGCCGTAAACAGTTACCCTCGAGCTAGATATTCCGGTCTGTACCGGCAGCCGGTGTAAGATTCTTATATGATTACTGTTTAAAATATGCATGATTACTGTTAAGTAGATGCATGATAACTGTTAAGTACATGCAAGATCAATGTTTAGTACATGGAATATTACTGTTTAGTATATGCATACTTGCTGTTTAGTACATGCATATTTACTGTTTAGTACATGCAAGATTAGTTTTAGTACGTGCAAGATTGATGTTTAGTATATATAGCCTACATTATTATTGTTTAAAATATGCATGATTACTGTTAAGAACATGTAAGATTACAGTTTAAGTACATATCTTTACGTTAGTAATGTTTATGAAAATCATATTTACAATTAAATCAATTTTGCATGTAGAATATAATGATATTTTTGTCTTGGAAAAAACAACAATGTATTTGCAAAACTGTCCAAGAAAACATCGAATTTTTTCTGTCGAAGACACTATATAGAGAAAGATTTGGTAAGTCTACAAGTATATTTAAATACGCGCTACCCAGTACTTCATGTTAAAGAAAATATTTATCAATTAATAGAGCTGGTGTTGTAAGAACACATACTTTAACTCCTCTTTGTTTTAATGATTAAATGATATTTCGTGTACGAAAATAAGTAATATTATTGTAAAAACACATTCAGACAGCCTTTTAAAACACAATGAAACCCATAAGTATTTTGAATGCTTTGCCTGTGTTTATAATTATCTTCTTACTTATGATAGTATTATTAGTATTATCAGCAATTATAAATTAACAGTAAATGGTCTACATTTTAAAATCGATTATCATCCCCATTGGAACAGAT